CAAATGTTATCATTGATTGATTACGCCCTTTAATTCAGATAGAAAACGGCCCCTTTTTTTCTTTTCCTTTGCACTCAAAGAGAAAAGGCAGAATTGTAAAATGTCCCCTCGTTATAGAGTCGGCACCTCTGTGCACACAGTGAGGAGCGGGGGGGGGGCAACGCCAACTGAATCCTGCAGCCAATGTCAAAACCGTGGCCAGGTTGAAGTCTATGGGGGATGGTGGGTCTTCGCAGATTGGCTCAGTGATGGCGCCGATGACGCAGAGACGGGGGGGGGGGGGGGGGGGGCCGAAGAAGAAGGGTTCTTTTTTTTAAAAGCCAGGGGGGCCGGGGGGGACCCATTAGGGGGATAATCAGCTCCATTACAGCCGTGTCACTGCAGTCTGGAGCTGTCGCCGCATCCCGCCCATCACCCCTCCACACACACACGCACACAAACATTACCCACTTGGTTTCTAGTCTAGACTAGAAACAGAACCCGGTGGCGTGATGAAATTTCCCCACGAGAGCAAATGGCGGGCAATAGCTGCTGTTAGGTACCGCCGACACATTTTCACAGAGGCGCTGGGGATCGGGCATCGATCGGAGACAGCCGTCGCTGTGAGTCGGAATATGCACAATAAGCAGCGAGACGTTCTGCGGCACGACACTTACAGTTGGTCCCATATCCAGGTGCCACAAGCAGGCATCAGAAAGGTATCTAACTGACTGATCTGAGACGCAATGGGAAAACATGGCAGGTAGACGAGGTAAATATGTAATGCACAGCGCCTCGGCAGCCAGCCAGCGGGACATTAATGACAATCATGTCTGGTCACACTAGCTGTCGGGCCAGTCAGCAGATCCTGCCCTTGTCCATGCCCTTCTCCGATCAATGCCATTGATCTGTCCCACGGGTCAAGGGGCAAGAGCGTATCAATAGGGGGAGGGTGGCTGATGCAGCAGGAGAAGCAGGCTTACTCCAGACAGATCAATGACGCCCCCCCCACCCCCCCAACGTCTGCCATCGCTGTGTTATGATTATTCATTTGCCATTAACCCCGAGCACATTAAGGGAATATGCTTCCTCTGGAAGAAATAGTGCTCGGGGCGGCTTTCTTTCCTTCGAGAGGGAGATTTTATGAGCTGGCGGAGGTGAAGCGGGCGGCCGGGTCAGAACCTGCAACCATCAGACCATTTTTTGCTAAGGTTTCCACATGTCGCTGACATCAACAGCAGAAAAGCCAATAGGGGGTTGAGCAGTTGTAGACGCACGCTGTGATTGGCCGGTTTTAAGAGTGCCTGAGTGCCCCTCCCCTGTGATGGATTTGGATGGCTCTTGAACACTTGAGGCAGAGAAAATATTAGAAATATTATACGACCCTTGAGCGGGAGGTTCTATCCGTGCGTGAATAAATAGTTTCTCTGATCACGAAAGTGTGATCTGCCATGTGAACACAATGTACATACTTTGGTGTGGTTTTGCTTTTCTATTGAGGAGATTCATAGTGACCTGAAGCTTGGATTCGCATGTCAAAGAGCAAGCTCACGTATTTGACACAGAATTAATTAACCACTTTGTGTTGGCCGTGAGGAAATGAGGCAGATGTGATCAAGGCTGTAGTGATCTTTGTCACACTGCCAGCGCTTTCTGCTACAAATGATTTCAGTTCATAACGTTAAGTTTCATAACGTTAACCTTATTTTTATTCATTTCTAAAGGCAGCTTAAGGACCTCAAAACCTCGTGAATCTGAACTGCATAATGTATTCGTTCAACCATCCCATAAATGAAGGCCCAGCTGGAACCAATGACTTTTAGCTGTGCTGCTGTGGGCTGCTGGATGATTCTCAGCGACTCAACACTTTCCCCCTCCACATCTGGAGGAGCGATTGAAATCCAGAAGTGAGGGTTGATGAGAAAATCACAATTCTTAAAATAAACCCTAACCCAAGACACATCTCGACTCTCTGTGCCATGTTTGATTTGTGACAGCTGGGGAGGTGATCCGTTTCTAATCAAATGAAGCATTTGTTCCTGCCCTTAGTTTTTCATTTGAAGACAATGAAATTCCATCTGCCTCCCTGTCCACTTGTCAGCAGTTATTGGGAGCATTTTTCAAGCGAGCGGTTGGGAGCATTGTCAACGTGAGCCCCGGAGATGTTGGGCTGAATGAGGAGGCATGAGCTTCCGAACACCAGGGTGGCAAAAGCAGGACATAAAAGGGATTCTTGGGTTTCCAGGGATTTACCGGGATCCTATTTCCTCACAGACACTTGTTTGATGACAATGGACTCTGTTGCCGATGCGAGGCTGAGCAGGATCACTGAGCTTCAATGGAACTGATAGTATCGGCCCCCGTTTCATTACTCATGTGTAAAAATAGCTGCTTTAGATGAATCCCATCATATATCTGCACTGGTAGGAAACAAATAAGTGATTTTCCAGGGTAACGTGCCTTAGATGGTTTTGGGAATCTGACCTATGTAAATAAAACCCAAAAGACTGGCCTGTGTGTTAAAAGGGAAATAAGTGAAATACAAAAGTCACTTCTGTCTTAGAGCGTGTGCACATATAAACGTGGGTGTCCCGGCAGAACCACAAACTGTGGAATAAGACGACTAAGAAGTCAATTTTAGACTAGATCAGAAAAAATGTGGTTCAATAAGCCAATCCCATTTGGCTTCCCTTCCAATGTCCAATTTATGCTTATTGCAATATATCAACCAAAATAAAGTGTTATTGGAAACCCAACCCAACCCAATCATATTTGGTTGGACATGAAATATAACAGATAGAGGAATTGGACTTGATGAGCATTATAACTGTGGCCCAGGGAAGTGAAGTTTGAGGTCTCCTGCTGCAAGTGTTGCCCCCGGGACCCAACCAGGGATAAGCAGTTGAAGGTGAGATGAAATGGAGATGAGCATAAGGAGTTTATAGATAAGTATCATTAGTGTAGTTTGATTGGCCCCACTTGGTTGTTATTATTATAAGTGCCACCCTTAGCCAAAGAGAAGCGCAAACACAGCCTTTACAAATCTCTGAGTACAACCCATCTGGCTTGGTAAAAGGCCGGTTCAGAGGAAACTCTGAGCATCAAACACCATGAACAAAAACCTCCCCCACTTCAGACCAAAAAGCTAATTGCATAAATAACAAAGGTTAAGCGGGGGCCGTCCCGAACACGGCAAAGCAGTTACATCCATCAAACCCCAAATACACTGTCACAATGATAAAGAACTGCAGCAGAAAAGCACAGACGTGATCTAGACATGCTGTCTTTCTAATCAAGCCGTCCAGAAGAGAAACAGTGGTATATGTTGGTGCTTTGGAGTATTTTACAAGCGCTGGCTCGGTGCCAGAAAGCGACGAGGTCAGACCACCGTAAACAGAGACTTCAGTGTCACTGAGGCCATAGCTTCAACCTGAAACTGGACCTCTTATCACAAATGCTCATTGTATGAAACCTGCAAACCTTATTTCCCAAGGCCCAAAGACCACGCATGAACTTGGACTATTACTGCGGAGGCAGCTCGGGGCCAACGGCTTTAAACACGTTAGGTATGATAATTAGAGCTCCAAATCCCTAAGAACTGTATCTAACTTGAGTAAACTGCCATCAAAATATTCAAATGAACTGAGCGAGAGCAGTAATGTAAAACCACGGGGCATGGCAGTCACCGGGAAGGAATCTGTTAAACACAGGCAGTCACATTTATTTTGATTATTGTGTTTGTAATCAAACCGTCTGTGCATCACGATGTCTGGTGCGCGGCTCCCACGGGGGCCAACGCCGCGGCCCACACGCCGACTAAACGGGGCCACGGAGGCGGAGCAACCGCTTGAGGAGCGAAGCCATTACTGTGTGAAATAGGTTCCGCTACACAATTACACCTCAATGAGGGAAATGGCCATTTCCAAATGAGACGATAAATAAACATAGTTAGTTCATTTTAGAATGTCACGGTCTGCTCACGTGGAGCCCGTGTGTGTGTTGCAGTTGAAGGGACACCATGACGCAATCAATGCAGTGCAGTTACTCCAACCATAATGCTTTCAGTCTAAAAGTCAAAAAATACAGCATACGTCAAAGGTCAGCTAAGAAATGAGATCCACAGAGGGGGCAAAGGTCACATCACTGCACTGAGGCAATGCTACCCAAAGAGGCCCTGCATTAGAAGTATTCTCAGTGGAGACAGATGTCATACGTGTACTCCAAGGAAAGCTAGAAGGTTGTACAGTTAACTCCCAGGGTGTAATTCTAAACCATACAACCTACTACCTCAACCCGGATGCACACATTGTCAGTTTTATATAGCTTCTCTATTCATGAAATGAAGCACATCAGATGCCACTAGCCTAAATAAATACTTGTTGAACTTCGCTTTGAATGAAGACAGCAATCAATAGTTCAATCACAGCTGTGAGTAGGGATCAGCAGCCATGTTGCTTGTTTACGTTGATGATCATTTTGGGGGGGTGGCTTTGGAGGGGAGGGTTTGGCCACTTTCTCTTGTAGCGACATTGAGAGCGACAGCTGCTAGCTAGTTTTTAGGTCAGATTACTTTAAATTCAGTGTATTCTTGCTGGTTTTTCACCTGTGTACGCTCCTACAGCAATAAAGACTTCCCCCCAAAAAGGTTAGAAAGCGACGTTCACACCACAATGACAAAGACCCACAGAGGCGAGCTTGTGCTGTCAGATTTGCCACAAGATCGGATCTACGGGTTTGTGCCAAATGGTTAGGGCCAAAGTAGCAAAACAGTGAAGGTTTTAAAAAATGTGACAACGGTTCATCTGGCTGAGTGTGTCGTGAGTGTGACGTGTCCCGGACTGCAGAAAGCCAATCACACAAGGCGACTTCACCTCAAAACGCCTGTGCCTGTTGTACTGAGCGCTGACAGCGAGTAGAAAGGGGGCAGCAGAGGATCTACTTCTGCTGGCATTTGGAGAAACTGCAGCAGGAGCCTTTGTTGAGTCCCTTAAAATGAAAGTTAACAAAGCAGACAAACTCACCCTTCATGGAAGAGGCTTGCTGCCGAGGAGGGAGTGGAGTTTGGGTCGATTCGGAGTTCTTCTCCTTTAAAAAGAAAAGGAAAAAGAAAGTCCTTTAGTGCTTTGTGGAACACTAGCAACCATTGTGATGTGAAGAAGAACCGTTGCACAACATTGAACACCAGATCCTCACGAACACTGCAGAGTGACTTTACACCCTTAAGCTACTGAGCGCCACAAACCTCGCCAGTTCCCACATATCTCAGTGACTCTCGTTGTTGCCGTGTTCCAGCAGCAACTGGCCCCGTATGCAGCAGTCCTCCTCGCGGCCAGCAGAGACGTGTCTCTGGCGAGAGGTTGGTCCTGCTCAGCCAACACCGCACAGAGCAGGGAGGGCTGCCAGTGTAACGAAGCGTGCCACGGTCGGCTACCACTAGCTGTGCCAGTGCCAGAGAGCACTGCAACCAGCGCAATATTCCCACGGCCGCAGTGCGACAAAGGGAAGTCTGAAGCAAAGAAGAAAAAACGCCACTTACCCAGGACGGGGCCTGATTTATGGCGTCTATGTCTGGTGGCGAGCAGCGGTTTTGTTGGTGTTGTTTTATTCTCGGTAATGAGACGAACAAGGAAAAGGAACCGAGGGGGCACCTTCTTAAAAAGCGAGCTGGCTGACAATGCGCCGCTCAGTTTTGGTTACGCTGCGGACGCCATTTCCTCCGAAAAACAAACAGGAGGGTGAAAGAGAAGAAAAATACTGGAATAAAACGATTTGCTGGCATCATTATTCAAAGTTTCCCCCTTTTTGTCCCTCTGCCTCCCTCCCTGTCTCTCCCTCCCTCTCCCTCCCTCCCTGGCTCCATCACAAAACATGGCTGGAGAGATCACATGATTTCCCACCAAAAAGCCGCAGCATTACCAGTAAGTATTCTGCTGACATTGTAAAGACAGCTTTTGTCCAAATCTAAACGTCAGCCCGGGCCGCCCCCCTCCCAAAACCTGGCACCTCCTGCTGTTGTGTATGTGTGTGTGGGTTGGGGCTGGGGGGGGATGTGAAGGGTTCTGTTAGGAGTCATGGCAACCTCCACCTGGCAGACTGCCCAGCACACCAAGGTGGTGTTGGGGGGGCTAATACGGTGTCAAGCAGGAATGCGCGATGCCTTCCAAAGTCAACTCTGCGGGCGTGCGGCTTGTTTGAGATTTCAGTTCAGTCGCCAGCGAATTTTGTTTTTAACAGGGTCAAAACGAAAGAGCGGACATGGGGCGAAAAAATGACTAGCCGCTCTTCCCGATCCAACTGGTGAAATGAATGTTGACGCGCTTCATTAGGAAAAATGTACTGTAAGCCTGTACATGTGCTGACAAACCTTGGTTATGTCTGAGCATTCATAATGCTTATTTCATTATCAGATTTTATGGCCTCTGCGCACCTGGTGGCGCGGTGGTTTTAGTAGTCAGCACCGTCCCCCTCACAGCAAGAATGTTCTGGGTTTGAAACAACCAAGCAGAATTTCTGTGAGGAGTCTGCATGTTTTCCCCGTGTCTGTGTGGCTTCTCTCCGGCTGCCGCCCACAGTCCAAAGACATGCTCTGGGGGTTAATTGCTGACACCCTTGCGGGTGTGTGAATGCGAGACCCTGCGATTGACTGGTGACCGGTCCAGGGTGAACCCGTCCCCGCCCGATGTGGACTGGGATAGACTCCAGCCCCCCCGCCACCTTCTTAAGATAAACGGAACGGACGATGACAGACACCAGGACATTCAGGTTTCACACAATTATACTGTCACACGTTTCAGAACAAACATATTGTGACAAATCAAGGAGGGGGGCTCCAATTGAATCCGCTGTTAAAATGTCTTAAATTCATTCAAAATGTTTGGGAGCTTAAACGTCTCTTATTGACAGTTTTTCACAACAAATAGAATACCTCAGTAATTTTGAACAAACACTTGTATCAGAGCGTAAACCATGTTATTTCAGACTCCATTACGGACCGGGACAAGTGGAGACAGTTCTTCTTTCCACTGCGGACCACACAGCAACACAGCTGGATTGTTGAATGGTTTATGGTTTTAATGCAGGAGAGGCACAAAAAGGCGTATATGCACGTTATGTTTAATATTATCACATGCAGTCAACTCATCTCTGCTGCTTACATTAGCGCTCTACTCCTCTCTATTGTTATTAGATTGAAGGAAGCGCTGTGGATACATTAGACCGGTGCTGTGAAAAGCTGAGAAGATTGCGATTAACCACTACAGTCACATTCCATGCAACGCCATAGCACATTATATATACGAGTCCACCTAAGACACAAAAAACAGTTAAAGTAGATCTATCAACAAAATGGCCATGCGGCTCACGCGGTCATCTGCTACCTACAAAAAAAGGAAAAAAATCCCACTGAGATGGTCATTTCATATCCTGAGAGGAAGGAGGCCAGGGTCGAAGTTCAAATGAGAATGGGGGTGAGGGGGGTTGTAGCACCTCCCTATGGGACGGGATATATCATTGCACACCAGACAGGGCCAGACAAACCAGACGGACTTCTCACGCTGTTAGATGTGAAAAATCTATAGTTGGTGGGGGAGGGTGGCACCAAAACACATCACATGTGCACACGTGGGAACAAACGACATTGGTGGCTTTGAAACAACGGCCTGGTACCATTGGCCCATTCAATAGTGCTGGACACGGACTGTGGGGACCAGGAATGTAGGACCCTCTCGGTTTGATGGAGAAGGACTTTAGTGCTGATAGCGGCATTGGGCAGATTCCAAGGACAACACAGCTATCAAACACAGCGTTGGTCAAATATGAAGCATCATCCTTTTACTGTGTTGCCTGTTTCTCTATTTCAACGTTTGGCCGCCACGGTGAAAAAAGTCAAGCCAAACCAAGGCAAAGCCCACCGTGCCCTCTGGTTTTACAACTTAACAGTACCTAAAATAGTTTGTTGAAAACATCTGAGGCCGTAAAAAAACGATGCAGGGAGATGATATTGATTCATACTGGCTAACACAGCTCACTACTGGAACAAGTAGGATGTGTTGACATTGAACAGGTAGAACCGGACAGTCAGGACACTGGCTGCATGACTTCACTTTAGTTGTACCGTTGACATTCATTTAGTAAAACTACTTACTATGCACACCCAGCAGGCTCACACGAGGCATCTACTGTACATGTTACACAACAAAAAAATACAAAACCTCAAGCAAAAGTCAGAGTGATGCGTCTCGGCATTCTGGCCGGTTGTTGACTCTCACCGAGGTGACGGCAATGCTGCTTTGGGACTCGTAAAGCCGGGATATGGAGTTGCTTTATAAAGCTCACAGAGGCTTTTCTCTTCTTGCCGTGGAGCCCGTCGAAACGGATGACTTTGCCTGACCCACCTGTCTGTTGACCGTGCTGCCTAGCACCAGACTAAACACTGGGATCTTTCACCGAGGCTCATTGGCCAGCGCCGACCGAGCAGCGGCCAATGGGCGCGCTCGGGGAGGGGGCGGCTGAGGAGTCGCACAGTGAGCTAGGTGAGGGGAAGGAAGGAGGCTGCGCAGAGACAACCAAACCTCACGCTGAGTCCCCAACAGGAACAGCGAGACAGAAAAAAGAGAATAGAGCCTGGTCTTTTTCTATCGCACAACACAAATAGAGATGCTGCGTGCAGAAACTCTGGGGATCGGGTAGGAAATGTAAATGATGCACAACAACAGCACAGTTAAAGGGCATCTGATTTGATAAGCCGGCTCCAGACTGAGGCTATCGGACCGTGCGTCACTACAAGGGGATCAATACCTAATGAATTCCAAACAGCAGAGTTTCAAAAACACCAATGTCTCCTACACATGAGCACATAAAGGAGCTCTGCGGATCGATGAATATGACATTACACGCAGGCGGAGGAATGGATCTTCCTAATTGACCTGAGCATTTTGAAATGAATTCAAACGACATCTAAAACAGTTTCGGATGGCGCGGCACCTTTTGGCCCCCGAGAGCTTCCCGTGGCTTTGTAGTTTTAATTACCGGTGTCTACCATCAGGCGGTTCGGGCAATACCGCAAAGACAATGGAGGAATAAAAGGCTCCCTTTGGCATTTACGTAGAGGCAGAATGAGCACTTCTCAATGAGAGAAGGTTTCCATTGTGCTCAAATCCAATGTGTTACACAGCCGGAGAGACGACAGATGCCAGTGAGGAGCCTCGCACATCTGATGTGTACTTCCATGAAGTGTGAGAAAAGATTCCTCTTTGAAAAACCACAGGTGACGAGGTTTAAACATCTGAACTAATATATATTATATACATGCTTTTTACAACTAACTATTTGTTGGACATCAACTGTATATTTAAATACAAAATAAATGTATTTTCTAATCAAATATGTATGTATTAAGTTATCATATTAGGGATTTTGGATATCTATATTAGACACAAAGTATTACACTTTTGGATATTCCTTTTCCCACTAATCTAAAAGATAAAGAACTTGGGCCTTAAGGAACGGAGGGGATCTCCTTCTTGTCTCTCAGTTAAACCCGTCCTACCTAGGAGGAGGGGGCAGGTATCGCTGAAGACGACTTCTCATCGAATATTTCGGCACGTCACTTCCAAATGCTTCCCCCAAAAAGATTATAGCGGCAATCGGCTGACAATTGGAAGACGAAAACTGCAAATGACCTGAATTTGCAGAAATTCCAGAAATTAATTGAGGCCTTGCAAAAACAATCAGACATAAGAGATAAAATAAGTACCAGTTGTTATATTATTGAAGTTACTTACGTGAATTTAAATAACAAGTCAATATCTACACGATGGAGCTACACAAGAGAAGGAGCTTGGTACTGTATTAATTCAATGTGTGTTGCTTCATGAGTAGAACCCACAGTCATTCTGGATAATGTTTGCAGAAGAGTTGTCTTACACATGTTATAAAGCTTTTTTATGTCCTAATATTTGGATTAATGAAAATACCAATGCTGTGGCAACTTTATTCTCCAAGCTTTCATCCCGGTAAAGCCCCTTTGAAGAGGATCGAATGCACTTGCTCATAACAATATGGTTAAAAAAAGGATTTTTGGGGTT